CACTTCGAACCACATCATCTAATCCCCTTAATACGTTTTCGATTTTATCATCATAATCAATATGTGTATACAAAATGTCGACATAATCAACTCCTAACCGTTTCAGACTAGCGCTCAGATTTTCAACCAGACTTTTTTGGTTCGCACTACCTTGTAATTTTTTAAAAACTTAAGATATAAATTTATAGAATGAAATGAGATTTATATTCTTGCTAACCTAAATTAGGTTCTTTTGGATCTTGAACTTTCGGATGAGCTAATAATATTGAACAGAAATTGGAATAATACTTAATATGTGAGAAAAAAAATTGTATAACGTATAAGATAATCAAATTAAAACTCACTTGAATATTTTGTAGAAACTATGACTTTGGATCGTTTATCAGATATAAATTTGCCTAGCATACTTTCACTCTAAAAGCAATGATATTTAAAGTAATTTAAAAATTATAGTAAATTTTTTAAAAAAATCTAATTTCGTAACTAACTTCGCCGTTTCCAAAATTTGAAGCATCTGAAAATGTGTTAAAATTATTTATTGACCTCAGAATTTTTAATTATAATTTATGCTTCAAAATTCAAAATCAGATTATACCCATTTTTTCATTTAACAATTTTGTTCAATACTCACCAAAGAAATTTCCACCAAGTTCATAATACTTATCAAACACTTGTTTGGATTCCACCTCATCCTTTATCGAAATCCGTTAATATTTGAATATATTTGAATATATTTAATAAATCCAATCATCGCATTTACAGCTTACTTGTTGTCCGAATGTCTAATACGATTGAAGAAATAATAATCATTGATCAATTTATATTTTGAAACAATAATGAACAAAAAATAAATTTGGGGTTATAAAATCTATGTTAAATCATAAGAAAATAAGGCTATTTAAAATTTTTATTATTGCAACAGCATTTATTCTTTAAATGATAAATTTTCAAAGTTAATTTTGGATTTGATAAAATTGTTGAGTTGGTCCATTTTTCAAACACTAACCAAAATATATATTTTCTACAACATTTAAAATAACTATTTTAATTCTGAATAATGTATTTTATCTTTCCATATCTTAGAATATAACTTAGAATGCAAGTAGTAATAACCTTTTTCTTTAACTAAATGATATCAAGAGTGATGTCTTAAAATATTTAATTACGTCGCACATTTCAGATAGCATAATTTAACAAAAACCAAAAAAGTTTTTAACGGTTGATTGATGATTAAATCAAAATGATAGTATATTAAAAACATTTGTAATGTATAATTTACCATTGTTCCAAGACATAGCGGAGAAACTTTTAGCCCACTCGAACCTAGTGAAACGTAATTATCGATTTTTGCTAAAACCTCTTGGGTCTGAGAAGTATCAGTTGTCATACTTTATGAATATAATTTCTATCAATCGTTTGAATATATATATATATATATATATAATAAGGTTTGCTCAAATTTTTAACGACTTTAGCAGGACTCATCATTTATATAACTATAATTTTTGGTTGCACTAAAGTTGATAAACGTAACACTACATCGCAACCAAAGAGTTACGCTCACGTGATTGTGTGGCCAATCAAGCAATAATAAACAATAATAGCGAACTTTGATTAAATCCTTCCAAACCTAACAAAATCTGCTCTATCGAAAGAATAAGATATATTATAACTAAGGCAAGACGAAAAAGTTAAAAATGATAAAAGTTTAGATATGATCAATCGTGCTACTACTATAGACCATTTTAATCCATCATGCGTTTTTATCTTCACGCGACGTAATTACCTTGCGTTACAAACAATAAATAACTGTAGTGACCATATAGATAACTAAACAAGGCAATACTACAATGACCTACAATAACATTCGATGCAAAGTTAAAAAAACTTCATACATCCCATAACAATTACCAAATATAGCAGACTTTATTTACGCCATCAGTTACGGTCCAATTGCTTTGTTATATCAAGCCGGCTTAACATACTTTTTTATATAGATGTAAGTAAGCGATGTCATAAGTCTACATTTAAAAAAATATAACACGGAAAAAGGAAATCTGCATATGCCGAGTTTCTAATTTTTCCCAAAGTTTCTATTGGCCGGGATTATTTGTACTGATTTACAAGTCACTTTTTTTAAAAAATGTAATCTTTAGAGCTATTGGTGGCGTTGACATTATACTGTTATATTAAAATTTTGCGGGAAATTTTGTCAATGCACATAACATATTTTTTTAAGCGAAATTTTGAGATTTATGTTCTAGTGAAGGTGTTACTTTTTTTTAAATCTTCATGTTACGCCTGAACTTGTTTGCTGATCGGCCAAAATCGAAACTTCGGAGGAATTTATCCACCATTTGTTTCGACATGACTTAGGCAGCCTTCGATTAACAATCATAATTCATTTTACTAGTTTTGTTTTCCTCGATTGCATAGCTCATGTAACAGACGATATGCTGTACGGCACTGACTACGGTACTATTCGATCAACCATCAAATTTCGTGAATAGTATCCTCCCGGGTACTAATTACGAGAAGGGTACTACAGTATAACAGGGGTACTTTACATAGTTTAATATTAGTTTAATAAGGATTCAAATATAAATATTATATATATCTAACTAGAATAATA